ATTCAATTGCTTATTGTACCCTATGACTATCATTAAGTGCTGTACCTGATGATTCTTGACTCTTGATGAATGTATCTTTTCTTTTATGTACCCTGAGAGCATTTGCACTAAGACAAATTCCTTGTGTGTCCAACAACACTTGGCCAATAAAAGAATTCTATTTTATTCTATATTCTGTTCTGTTCTATTCTATTCTACTCTAATCCGCATTCTATTCTATTCTATTCTATTCTATTCTATTCTATTCTATTCTATTCTATTCTATTCTATTCCATTCTACCCTATTCTCTTTCTATTCTATTCCATTCCATTCCATTCCATTCTATAATTTCACCCTTCCCTCAAGACCTCGGCTGCCGCTCCCACCAGCCCCTTCCACCTGGGGTTTCCTGATTCCACACCCCCTTTCCTGAAAACCTTCCATTCTCTTCCAAACCCAGAAAAACTCAACCCGGTGTTCGTCGGCAACGACAGGTACGCAACATGGAGGACAGGGCCGTACAACAGCGCCTCCTGGAATCGATACACCACGTACCTGCCACGGATCCCCAGGGTAAGCCACGCTCACACCAGGGCTGGTTACCTCCAGGGGTGGGGAAGAGGTTAAGAAACAGCTGGGGGTGCCGGGTGGAATCTTCTCCTGGGGAAGGGATGGAATGCAACACATAGGAAATTTCCCCACCGAATTGTCCTTTAAGCGTAGCTCCAGGTGTCCCCAAAGTGCCTTTTTTTTTTTTTCAAGAGGCAAGTGGACTTCCTAGATTTTCTTTGAAGATATTTTGCTTCTCATCCAAGAAGCTTCTTCAGCTCTAGACTGGATGGTGGGGAAGGGAAGGATTTATATTCCTTGAAGACTAAGCTGGTCATTTGCATCCTTTTAGACGGTCGTTGAGGCCACTTGGAGTCCTCAGGGTCACCTGAATTGTATTCCTGGTTCTGGTAGTCTGCAATTTTTTTCCTCTGGAAATCCACTCTGACTTCCACACCATTTAAAGGCTGTTCATCCCAAATTGTATAGCTAAACATCTATAGCATTTCTCGGTCCTCCAAGTCATGGTTGTACCGAAGGACATTTTTTTCCCGAGGCAACTGGACTTTCTGGTTTTTCTTTGAAGACATTTCACTTCTCATCCCAGAAGCTTCTTCAGCCCTGACTGGATTGGTGGAGGAGAGAAGGATTGATATTCCTTGCAGACAGCTGGTCATTTGCATCCTTTTTAGAGGGTCGTTGAGGCCACTTGGAGGTTTATCTGTGTCCTCAGGGTCGTTGAGGCCACTTGGAGGTTTATCTGTGTCCTCAGGGTCACCTGAGTGGTGCAAATGGGTGTGGAGTCTTCTTGGAACTGCTGAAAGGAGCTGCGTTGTGGACTCCACACCCATTTGCACCACTCAGGTGAGCCTGAGGACACAGATAAACCTCCAAGTGGCCTCAATGACCCTCTAAAAGGACGCAAATGACCAGCTGTCTGCAAGGAGTATAAAGGGTCACCTGATTAGTGAAATGGTTCCTGAAGTCTGCAAATGTTTCCTCTGGAAATCCAGAGTTGATCAAAGAAAGAAACACAAATTATTTTTGTCCCAAAGGTGCTTTATTCCCCAAGAGGAAACTGGACTTTCTGGTTTTTCTCTAAAGACATTTCGCTTCTCATCCCAGAAGCTTCTTCAGCTCTGACTGGATTGGTGGAGGAGAGAAGGATTGATACTCCTTCCAGACAGCTGGTCATTTGCATCCTTTTAGAGGGTCGTTGAGGCCACTTAGAGGTTTGTTTGTGTCCTCAGGGTCACCGGAGTGGTGCAAATGGGTGTGGAGTCTTCTTGGAACTGCTGAAAGGAGCTGCGTTGTGGACTCCACACCCATTTGCATCACTCAGGTGACCCTGAGGACACAGAGAAACCTCCAAGTGGCCTCGATGATTCTCTAAATAAGAAAGCAAATGACCAGCTATCTGCAAGGAATATATGGAGTCATCTGAATAGTGAAATGGTTCCTGAAGTCTGCAATCTTTCCCTCTGGAAATCTAGAGTTGATCAAAGAAAGAAACACAAATTACTTTTGTCCCAAAGGTGCTTTTTTTTTTCCCAAGAGGAAAATGGACTTTCTGGTTTTTCTCTAAAGACATTTTGCTTCTCATCCAAGAGGCTTCTTCAGCTCTAGACTGGTTGTTGGGGAAGGGAAGGATTTATATTCCTTGAAGACAGCTGGTCATTTGCATCCTTTTAGAGGGTCGTTGAGGCCACTTGGAGGTTTATCTGTGTCCTCAGGATCACCTGAGTAGTTGTAAATGGTTCCTGCAGTCATTTCCAGAATGGATTTCCAGAAGAAATGAAATGCAGACTCCAGGAACCAAGTCGAAGACGATTTGTATCCTGTTTTGAGCTATGATTTTAATTGCTGAAATATTTTGTTTGTAAACTCCCAACATTAGAGGAGTGGGCTGTGCAAATTTTAATGACATCCCATTTCAAAATGGGAAATGAGCTGGCTGGGGAATTCTGGGAGTTGAAGTCCACCCGTCTAAAAGTTCTTGAGATTGACAAATACTGACTTAAACTTAAGGCTGGACTCGATTACTGATCTTTTCAAGTTCTTCTTCTCTGGAGCTATTGCCGTCCGTCTTCTTTCCAGCAGAAATGGACTTACCTCTTGCAAATTTGCCTTTCAGGAGGCCGGCATGGATGCCATTTTGCGCGGGATGCCCATGGAGTACCCTCCAAAACCCGAGCGACTCAACAATTACGGTACCTCTTTCTGAAGCTTCCCAGCCTCACCCCCAATGTAGGGATAAGAAAAGCTAACCAATCTGCACTACGAGGGGTCCTTGGTGCTCTCTGAGCTTGGCTGTTTTCTTGCAGATGTTTCATGACCCAACTAAGTAATGTCATCAGTGCTAGAAGGGATGTAGAGATTTGTAAAGTGGTGGTGGTGGTGGTGGTGGTGGTGGTGGTGGTGGTGGTGGTGGT